TACATACGTACATACGTACATACGTACATACATACATACATACATACATACATACATACATACATACATAAACATACTGTCTTTAGTTTAACTTGGTTTTACTAATGACCTTTGGCAAGGTAAGTGCGCAATTATCAGTACAGTCATTCTTGTCGCTTCTCTCAGGGTATTCAAAAGAGGATGCAGGCTGAACAGTCATATGCAATAATCGTACCAGCTTCAACTGACGTCATTCAAAGTATAACCCATTCCACCTTTGTGTAAATGGTACGTTCATTGCCCATGAGTACGCCGATGGCACTGTACTGCTGAGCGACTCCACAAGTGGCCTACTGACACTCACTGAAAGCGTAGGCAACCCGCTATGTGACTAGGGCTGCAAGTAAACTCCAAAAGACAAGGGTTATGAGAAAGGGCTCGCCACGACCAATAGCCTTAGAATACCATCGGATGGTATTACGATGGACGAGGTAACCATTTCACATGCCTCTCCAAAATGTGTTAACTAACGATGGCGACATTGATCTTGAAGTGAACTGACTGGAATAAACGAATTATGACTAGCTGGTGACATACGGAAGGATCGGATTATGAGAATCGGCAAGACGATCACCATTTTGAAGGCAGTCATTTTCGCGGTGTTATATTTATGCACAGTCTCAAAATATCCGCCGTCCCGAAGGGCCATGGAGCTCCTCTAAACCGCTTCCAACACTGCTGCACGTCCTCCTAACAGCTTCACGATGGTACCACCTGGTCACAACGAGCAGGAGCTGACGACCAGCGGTCTGAAAAAACTATCAGATAAATTCAGACACCGGCTCCTGGCTTGGTTTGATGAAGTAACCCAAAAAGAGAAGGGAAATCCTTTCTTATTTTGGTACCTTACGTTGATTGAAAACGGGTAAAAGACGATGCAAAACATGGAAACACCTCGTTCGTGCAGACCTTCTTGCGAGAAGGAGTATGACCGTTGTCTGATGTTAACTTTAAGTACGATGTTCTAACGACAAACGGAACGGATCTACGTTACTCTGCTCTTGAAGGTCTGTTAGGATTTGATGACGACATCAAAACAACAATAACCTTTATTGCCCAAGTCAGTGATGATACAACAACGCTGGATAAACATAACAATAATTGAAAGATAGCTTTCTCTGCTTCTGGAAAACTGACAGCGGCATGGCTAAGACAGTATCGTCTAACAAACTACTTTAAAGCCCCCTACTGTTTTCACGTTGTGGAAGCAACGACTTCATGTTTTTCGCAACGATCCGGATCATCTGCTAATTACTCTGATTCCAAAGGCTTGACAATGGTACATGTCGAATATACCTCTCCGTCAAGTCTTCAGTCTATCCCTTTACCGCCCTCCAAATGGCTCTCTCAAGAGTGTTCTCCTTGCGAATCTTCGCTGTAGCATCTTCGTCCATGCCTTTGGAATTTCTCGATCTACAATTCAGGGTATTTGGAACTGTCATGTTAAGTCAAGTTTGTCAAGTCTCTTCGCACCAGCAGTATTTTGCAAGAAACTTCGTTTTGCCGCTTTTTCTAGGACCACACCGTTTCGGTCATTTCCACCCCTCATGACTGACCGTAGGTGAGTATAGATGCACAGATTGGCTTCGAAGCTCGTAGCTACGCACTACTGTTATGCTCTTTCTTCAGTATCACCGAACCTTTTCACGGCATTCTTTTAGTGTCTATTTTCCACTCTCTTTTTCTGCCACATTAAATTCTCCGCTATGGTGAAAAAGACACCGTTTCGCATGTTCATCTGGCCATCAAGCGCTGTCAATTTTGACAGTGTTGCCACAATAAGCACTGTGAATGCGGACGTTCGTTGCGAAACGGTTGAATTCATCTCATTTGAATTCGGCTTATGCTTATGCATTAGAAATGCTCGAAAGTTCTAACATTTTCAGTGCATGGCCATAGAATGGCATTTTTACTCTCTCCCCTTCTCTCCCCCTTCCTTTTTCCTCTTTCTTTTCTTCCTCTTCTTATTCTTCTTCTTTTTCTCTTTTTCTACTTTCACTGCACTTTCATGCAATTATTACATTAATAGAACGAGTTTCTTGAGCATTCTTTCAACCCTACGCTGGCAGAGCAAATTTCAAAATATGCCTGGATTGTAAAATATTCCCTTATGATATCTGGTTCCAACGTCTGGCAGTGGTTACAACTGTTTATACTTCTCCATAGTACTTTTTACTTCCTGGTTATTTTTTAGCACCATGTAAGGCGCAGCTGATCTATCCGTTATCAGAGTTGGAAAGCTGGTACTCCTACCGGAAATACAGCAGGGCAAGCTTTCTTGATCAGGACCGTAAATTTCTAAACAGTCTGAAGATCTGTATTTCCCACCTACTTCATGTTGACTTTACTTCTGATTTTTTTCATCACAGATGATCTCGTTGGTGAAGTGTGAAAGCTTTCACAATTAAACAAAAACTAATCACGTGTAAAGTAACTGCGTAGTTTCACAAATTGTTTTACGGCGTATGGCATCATTCGTAGACATTTGGACGCTGTGTCCTTGATTAATCATCGGCTTTTTCGATCCACCGCTGAACGTAGGCTCCTCCAAGACATTGACAAAACTCCTGCTTTCTCTTATTGTTATCCATATGGAAAGTGCTTGGACACTTGCAGTGTTAGATAACGTGGCATCATCATTTTGATCCGTGCATCATTCCTTACTAATTATCATCAGTATTCCAACAGCCCTTATGTCTTGTATGTTTTCATAAAAGTTAAAGGTTGTCCAAAGTATGTAAATCAGTTAACAAATCCATTGAACCACGTTTTCACTGTGCATACTACTGCCTTCTGCTCCTACATACCTTGAAGTCTATTAGAAAGGGACCCGACTCTGTAATAAAGCTTCGCGTTAAGAGAGGGGCAGAGTTGTCAACTGTTTATCACCTGTTTGTTTGCACCCTCAGCTGTAATTGATGGAATGCCATCCAAAAACCTGCCGGTAGAAACGACAAGAGAATCAAATGGGAAACATGATCTTCTGCAGATAAAAGGACGAATCTTGTACACAACATTACACTCGATTTGACCAGGTCAAGTGATGACCGCTGATGCGTAAATCTAATAGAAGCTCTATCGAACGCAGTGGTTTAAAACAGGTTGGTCTGCCGTTTGTGGGTCAGAAACGAACTTCTTGGTGGAGACTAGAGTTCAGTTGAAGGTTTCAGTTCATTGATTGCTTGCAAGCAAAGAGCCTTCAACTCGAATGCAGCACGACGAAACGCGCAACTCATTCCTGGGAAATGTTCGGCGAGGCTTTGGAGTCCGATTTCCAGGCAGAAAACAAGGTATTGTGGCACATCATCCGCCGCCTCTGAGATGGAAAGAACTGCAGTGTAAGAGTTCCGAAGGAAATTTCTTACCAGGAATTAGTGCATATTTCGGCGATGGAGAGAGTACTTTGAGGAACTCTTTGACCTCACGTAACAGCAGAAAGATTCCCTCAA